TCACATTTAATATTTTTTAATTGGCAGATAATTTTTTGATAACGATTTTGAAGTCGTTCACAATGTGTCGACAAATCTCTTCACTGGGGAGAGCACAAAAATCTATTATTGTAATTATTTAATAAAACTGCCCCTCCCCCCCAAGACATGTTCTCCTACTCCCCAACTCACTGAGCTTCCTGATTGGCTGGGCCGAGTGGCCAGGCACCCTTTATGAATTTGTTAAGCAAATTCCTTTCAAGGCACAGATTTGCAACCAACAGGAGAGCAGCCTCACTCACAGCCAAAGCAGCCTCTGGCGTCCGTTAGAACGGCCAATGCGAAAGCCATTCGCGGGGTGGGGGTGCGGGTACATTGTGTGAGCGAGCCAGCCTCGGAATGGACGCACACCTGACATAAAACGCCTCACAGGCCACCAGGAGCCAAGCACCAGATGAGGGGGACAAAGCCAGCCAAAATAAATAAATAAAAATCCAGAAGGCCACTTCAAACATACGGAACTACTGAGCAGGACGCATTCCGCTCGCCCGAGACAGCTATGCTGTAATATTCCTATCACTGGAAATCAAAAAGGGCCTGCAGCTGTTAAAGGGAAACATCGTAAACACTGGACCGTCGTTGTCAATATGATATTTTAAGTCACATGAGGAGAGTGTACAATTTTGTGATATCAAAAATCAAGCTGTGATTATCAGCACATCAGGTTTACTGCCAAGTAAATATATTTTACTTGCACATAAACACACACACACACACACACACACATATCTAGCTGCTATCTTCCCTTCACATTAGGGCAGGATTTAATTCCTAGTTTCCGTTTCACCACAGCATATCCTACTCATTATGAAACAGTTTACATCCAAGCAACCAATCTTTAGTCTGGAGCTTGTAGCTTTTCAGTTCCAGGAAAGTGCACCCCTTTATTAATGTAAGCAAGAGAAGAATATTTTTAGGTCTCGAGGTCACTTTGCGTCCTCTATGATCCGGGGACGTTTAAGTGGTGCCCGTCAGCTCGTGTGGGGTACACCTCCCCCACCCCCCGGTCCCAGCAGGGCCAGTATCCGTTTGCGTGTTCCCAGAGGCCTGTCACGAGCGAAAAACACCCACACTGAGAATCTGGGCTGGTCCTGCAGTGGCATTATTGTGGAAACAGGTAAGGTGTATTGTGTTTGGACAAAGGAGAGCGCATCACCAAAACAAAATGACATCGGGACACAGCCAGAGATACACGAGATGAAGAAACATAAAAGAAAAAAAGAAATAATTATAATAAAACAAAATGGCACAAAAACAAAAAGTAAATACTTCAAATGTCTTGGTCTTTTAACATCACACAAATTTCAGGTGTTTAAGCTTATCCGTTACATGACCAACTTTTAAAATATCTTAATTAATCACACACAAACTCGATAAAAACGCACGACGCCTTGACACTATATGGATTACGAGGCCACGCCATCGACAGCAAACGTGATGCAGGTCAGCGCCATCAGAGCGGCGTTTGAACGCAGGAGGAGGCGGCGCCTCGAAAACTTAAAAATGTAATAATCGCTCGCATTTCAATAAAGCGGCAGCGGGATTTGCGGTCCATAATCTAGGAAGGAATTCCGCCAGGCCCTCGGTCCCCGCCATGGGTACCGGGATAACCACCACCGGAGGGGATCCTTAAGCTGCCTGCAGCAAACGGAGGCCAGGCGGAAGAGATACGGGTTCACTTAATATCTCACCAACAGTTAAGCAACACCAGACGTGTTGTGAAACCCAAATAAATATTCTCTAATCCCTGCATCATAATGAAGTGACGAAAGAATATTAATTAGCCAAATACATCAAAGACGTACGTGGTGTGTAAATGCCATGACATGTGATCATGTTTTTTTTCTTCAAACCAGCACAACTTCACACTCGACAATGACTAATCACACACAAACTTGTCACCACTCCCAAGTGAAAATATTAGGACAAACTGAAAAAAATAGAGGGCAGGCCAGCAGGTTTAGCGAGTAGTCTTTGTTAAAAACAGTATAGAGAAATCAAACTTGTTCATGGTGCCCCGTACTCTAAAGGTATAACCAGCAAAACCAACCAGTTGTTTACTACATTTTCCAGCAGCATGTTGGAAAAGAGATTGCAGTTATAACTGAAGGTGTGGTTTCTAAAAACATCTCAGCAATCTGCAGAGAAAGGAGGAAGATAGCTGTCTTTCACTCCTGGACGGGATTTTGCTGGGGGGGGGGGGGGGGTTAAAATGTAACATTTAAACTTACGTTTCTCATCATCATGTACTAAAGATGCCGCTCTTGACAGAACATCCAAAGGTGTTTCCATTCTTGGCAAGAACCTATGGATAAGGAAAAGGGAAGCATTACTGTCAGCCGCAAAAGGCTCTGCCGGTCTATTTCGGGTTAAGTTTGATATCACACAAAAAGGCAGCCGAAGTGTCCCTCTTTCCCCGACGGGAACACGCCGCTCCAGAGGCGAAAATAATTAGCCAGTTTCCAATGATAAGCAAGTTCACCCTCCTGATTAAGGAGCACGACTTTCTATACGAAATAACATAACACTACACCCGTCAAAAATCACAAGGCTTACATGTCAGCAACGACTGTCCGGTAATGATTAGTGAATGAAGTTGTAAAGCCTTTTTTAGTACAACAGTGCAGTTCTGGCTCTTTCTCTTCCTACACTCGACATTCCAGAAATGCCATTTAACGTTTTTCCGCAGGCGAGCCTACTTTTTCTCATTTAGCACCAAAAAGGCTTGGATTACGCGCATCGGATTTCTAAAATAAAGTATAACATTAAACAAGGCTCCACACCTCAAGCAATTTCGTCTCACGGTAACTTGAAAACGAGACCCGTCCACCCTTTATCCTAAACTCCGTCCACAGTAACTCGGCAAAACGTCTTTGTTTATAGCTCTTATCAAAACATAAGCAATCTGCAAGGCGACTGAAGTATACTTATAGTAACTTGCGCCTTATTATATGGCGACGCATGGACAGAAAGTTTACCGAGACCTGCGAACAAAAGGGATGCATTTCTCTTACATCGCCTATTTGCTCAAATTTTATTATCGAGTGCACCCTCAGTACAAAGCAGGTTCCGCATACAAGCAAGTCTTTGGAAAAGTTTGGGGGAAAACATGTTATAGTCGCGATCCTGACATTCTGATTTGCTAAACCCTTAAAATGAACGTTTAAATCTCTGGATCGGATTCTTCGTACGGTTATGATACGAGCTAAGCGAATGAGCACGACATTTAATCTCCAGTTGCATTTATGTTTTGTTGTAACGTCTTACTGCGCACGTTTGTTTCTATTATAATAGCCAACAAACTCCAGCTTGTTACATACCACCTTGAAGCGCCACTTTGGAGTCTTTGATTATATAGCTGACAGAAGACTGAAGAATAGAAGGATGAAGGTGGGGGGGAAAATGCGGATCCTGAATAAATTCAAGTCGCAGGCTATATCCCAGAGCAGAAACAATGAGCCAGCGCATGTAGTAACTGGAAAACTGGCCCGTAAACTAGAAGGATACGAAGAATGTCAGGAATGATGGAATTCTCTTCCTAGCAGGTGGTGAGAGCCGAGGCCACTCATTGGTCCGCCATTAGAAATGAGCTCATCATAAATTATGCTAATGAGTCGGGTTACATCACATCCTCGGCAGGTAGGCTACAAGGCGATGAGGAAGTGAGGGAGCAGGAATGGGACAGGCGAGGGAAAGTAGTAGTGGTAGCAGCAGTAGTAGTAGTAGTAATACTAATACTAATAATAAATAACAATAATTAATTGTATCAATTCAGCATCGCTGACTGTGTTTAGAATGATTTATTTGCCTAACAAACGTCGCTATATGCTAGTTTCAGGATGGCATAGCATTTAACTGCCAAATGCTTGTCTAGGGTTACAACAGATGTGAGCATGCAATTTTAATTTCGTTATTTCATTCTTTGACCAGTATACCGTGTCCTTATTTCTCAAACAACATGGCTGAGCTTTATTTGGGAATAGTAGAGCAACAGATTCATAAACTAATTTTATACCCAATAAGAGTCGGTTTAAGATCGATCTCATTATTTGAACGTCTGCAGAAAGCCTTGTAAATATATAAGAATAAGGGACTTAAAGCAAACATCTGTAAGACAATTCTGGCATCCGCACTACATCCTTCCATAACATTACTGCATCGTGTTTTATTTAGACTTGTTTAATTAATGGGGAGATTAAAGGTTCGGAATGACTAATATGACAAGGTTGTGCCCGTTTAAAATTGTGCATATTTGGGTCAAATTCACCTGAGTCATTAGCTTTGTAACCGTCACACACAACTGAAAAGAAAGTTACATAGAAAGTGTGTAATGACAGTCTAGACACTAATGAATACTTTAGTGACCTAAATATGCAGCATGGGTTGGATTAATATACACACTGGAATTTGTGAATTGTTTTGTCTTCATAAATTCTGGTTTGGGGAGCTTCAGAACCCATTAATATGCAGGTAGCACTTTCAGACCTGTATGTGTGTATGCAGGGGCGTTGCTAGAGATTTTGGGCCCCATGAAAGCATATCATATTAGGCCCCCCAGTCCAAACCAATCCAGTTATTTTCCTAATTTTTTAGGGCCCCTGTCACTCAGGGGCCCTTGGAATCGTCCTAGCTTTCCTCCCCCTTACGGCACCCCTGTGTGTATGTATGTGTGTTTACATAAACACAGCTATTTATCTTCTTTAAAATGAGCCAGCCCAGTCATGTGACTGGATTATGATTAAGTAATCTGTCTGCACTCATCCACTAACTTGCAATTAATGAATTACAGCCTCAGAGGTTATTTCCCTAGACTGAAATTTAAGAAAAAGATTATTTCTGACGTTTTTTCCAGTATTTAAATATAACATACATCATACTGATATATCAATGAATGTGATCCACTGGTCAAATCAGGCTAGCACTCAATCTGTCTAGGAAAAGAAAAAAGGCAAGACAAGTTGTTGGATCGATGTATTAAAAATTTTAGTTTTTGTCTTTTGCTTACAAATAAAATTTGTACAGCACCCTAAGGTACACAGTTCTTGGAATAGCTGCCCAAAATCCATTCCCACCCTTCTCTTCCTGACTGGAAGCTGTATCTTTTACACTTTTTTTTTTTTTTTTTTTTTTTTAAACCAAAAATCTGGAGAATAACTTAAAAATTCAACTGATGTGTCTGCTCAGGGACTGTGGGAACGTCTGTTGGTATGACATTTCTCATGATGGCAGACTAGGTGGCTCCAGTATCACGTCCTCCTTCTCCACCCTTTCCACATCTTCTGGACCTTCTTTGCACTGTATGAGACTGTTTTCATCAGTCCTGGGGAATAGGGGGAGGGATCAATGAATTATAATCCATTTTCAGTCTTTTGGCACCTTTACACGCAATGCTAAAAGGGCTGCACCATGAACTACTTGAAGGGCAGCTACTATAATCTGTTTTTTCCCTGTCTGTGCGCTAATATGAAAATCTGCATGCCAGAAATGTAACGTGAGGAAGCAGCGCAGGTGTTTTTCCCACAGTGCTGCCTGATACCGTCTCACCTGCGGTGGCGATGCCCTTCAGACTCTGCGTGATGCTGGATGATTTGACTATCGATGAGATTCCTTAAAAAGGGAAACAGGAACACACCTTTAGAACAATGTACAGTTCAGAAATCTCCTTCAGTCTGCTGTCATGCTTTTACACCACTTAGGTAAGCAAGGACCAAAATATCTTGTTGTGGTAAAGGTCGTGACTGTGAGATATCAACATCATCTGTGTAAAGCATGAAAACACAGCACTTCTGCAGTCTCTGCACATTATCCTAACACCACAGAAATGTAATTATTTCCACAACATATCATGGGTGCGGTCACTGGTATAACTGGATTTGACTTTTTGCCTGACATTTCAGGCCCAACAGGTTAAGCGAGTACAGTAAGTTCAAGTACTGGACTTCAACTGACAAATTATGTTAAGATATATTTCAGATATTTGATACGGTTATGGTAACGTATTTTTCCACTTTGTTCTCAAACTGTGTCATAATTGCCACATGAAATGTCAGTCATTCTACTAACATTGCAGAGCAAGAATTACTGAAAATGAATGTGAAATTCAGAATTCGTGTAGTTAGATGCATTTACAATTATTTATCAACCAGACATAGTGGCACACAAGTCTGGCAGATAGATCGTAAGTATACTGTCATGAAGCTAACTAGGCATAAGTAGAGCTAGGCTGAGCTTCCAATGAATGACTGTGCATGTGTTATTTATTTTTTATTAACCAAGAAAGGCATTTTTAGGTTCTAATAGTAAGAGAACCCAAATACGGATTCTATTAGTAACAGTGCATTGTTTCCTAGCATGAAGTCTGCATGAGACAGCAGACCACATGAGCATTGACTCAGCACAGAAAAACTGGAACAGAAATGTTACCATGTGATCTCATAGAGTGAAACTTTAGGAATACAAAGAGGCAGTTATGCGTTTATGTCATGAAATCTTCTTCAGATACATAGCGTCTGTCTGGCGACAAACAGCAACGAATGTACTACAATGCTGGGAGGCTAGAAATATGAGTCTAATGTATAAATATTTAGATATAATGACGCTTTCATTGTGTAATAATAAGATCATGGGCCAGTCTAAAGGAAATCAGTTTCCTGGCTTTGTCATCCCGTTTGACCTCAGTGAAAATGTCCTTTCACTTCTCTCAGAGGTTAGCCTGTGGTTTCTGGACCTGAGGAAGCAGCCAGATAGGTGACGGCAGTGCCAGACCAGCTAGGTCTACATCCCAGGACTAGCTGACCTGGCACCCTGTCCATTTCACATAAATGCAGCCCTGAGTGCAAACAGCTCTGGCTGAGTGTGTAGCTGCAATAGCTGGACCCACCTTGATGTACCACAGTTCCACAGTCTGGGTCCTGGGCCACCTGCAGTAGGATCTCCTCCACATCATGGTTCTTCCCAGGCGGGTCCATCAGGAGGGTGATCCTCTGCTGCAGAGTCCTGGGCAGAGCCATCAGCTGGGTAAACTGGCCTTCGGGACTCTTGTCAACCTGAAGACAAGGAAGAAGCTCCAAGTTACCCAACCCAAAATCAAATATCTAAGGCATTATAAATTGCAGCGCTGGTCCAAACTGCCTAACAAAACACCACAAGGAGCAAGACAAAAGCTCAAAGTGCTAAAACGATATGACCAAGTTCAGAAGACACAACACAGCTTGTAAGAAGGTAGCCCAGTTTAAAGTTTACCGTCATTCCTTTTGCATGAGCTCTGCATACACTTTCCAAGCCATTCATAATAATTTTCTTGCTGTTTAGATCATTCATAGACGGGTTTTATAGAAACTGATTTATTTTGATCTCCATTTTTGCTTTATAAATATCAGTATTTAGCACAAAACATCACATTGTGTTATCTGAAATTTTCAAATATCGTGCAGCCCTGGCATGAACGGCCGCAACTGTTTTTTTTTTAATGGCTGTAATCGGGGCAAAAACAGCAGGCTAGCAACGAGCTAAACACAACTTGTCCCACACTAAAATCCCCCCAGCTGGAAACAAACAATAAGACATTTGCATAGGAGGTGGTGCAATGCTACCAAGCAGACCAGTCACAGTTGTTGTGGCCTGTGGCGCCATGATTTCTGGGGAAGTGCACGTCAGAATGCAGCGTTGTGTACCAGTCTACACCATACCTATGGCGTAAATTATACACAAAAGTATAAGTCAGCCTTTAGGGGTACAGGATGCTTGCTGACCCTGCTCTGACCCCAAGCCTTCCTCACTCATGTATTGCTTTGGAGAAAAGCTTCTGGCAAATAATTAAATTATCATTGAAATTAATTAATTGTATCTAGGACACTGGGCAGAAACATACCCATTTATACAGTGAGATACTCCAATAAGGGAATTCAGGTCAAGCACCTTTGCCTGGGGACTAGAACGGTAGGAGCTATCCTGGAATATGAACCAGAAACATTTTTGATAGCAGCTCCATGTGACTAAACTATTTAATTTGTTGGTCTCTGCTGCATGTAAATATATAAGAGGGTGAGCACTCCTCTACCCCGCGGGCCAGAACGTTACACCAAAGTAAAAACCAAGCCAACCAGACTATAATGCACAATACTTCCCCTCCAGTCCAGGTGAGCTGGTCCGCCCTAGTTTATAATAATAATAAAAAACAAAAAAAAAACTGGGGTTCTTCTTTCTTCTGATTGGTCGAGCTGAACTGTAAATCCTGCCCCAAATGGTTCCGCCCATACCATGTGATGGACTCAGAGGGCCCCTTTCCTACCTCGAGCTTCCCCTGCTGTGGCTTGTAGACCACCTGTGGGCATTCCTGGAGAATGCTGCTGTAGAGAAGTTGGAAGTTCTGCATGTTCTCCCTAACAATGTTGAAAACTTTGGATTTGTCCTCACCAAGCACCATCCTGAAATCTCCTGCAATTAGAAAAGAAAGAAAGAAAGAAAAAAAAAAACACTCACGACTCCGAAACCATAATCCTGAACCGGTCTGGCAGTTGGAAAGGGACAAAGGTAATTTGGGGAATAACAACTTTAGGTTATACCAGTCACCGCTGGAGCGAGATAAATGACACAGTGTATTTCACACTCGAATGGCAAAGTAGATTAGCCTAGCGAATCGCGAAACTTTTCCTGAGAGCCATCGTCACCATGTTGCATCAGCGAGAGCTTTGCCAAAGCCCTGAAGTGCTTCCTGGACACTCACTGTCATTTCCAGGCTTGGGCAGAGCCAGACTCCGTCCACGTTTCAAACCCTTAGCTGGCCGTGCCAAAAGCTCTGATTCTCTCTGGCTAAGATACGCACCAGGTTAACAGCTAGGATTAGCCTGAAAAAAGTTATCCGAATGTAAACGGGATAGCAGTGCGTGAGGGAGAAGTTTTTTTAAAAAGTAGGCAAGCAGGAAAACATGCTGAGACGACTGAGGAGGATGTTTGGGCCTCTGAAAAGTGGAGCCACCGTCAACAACGGCAGATCCGTCTCACTACCACCAACGGAGAGCTATTTGGTTTGGCAAATGTCAGTGCTGTTACTACAGCCTGCCAGCATGGGAAGGGTCTGGCCGCAGCCTCGGAGGCCTTATTGAAGTCCCCACAGCAAGGAGGCTGAGCTTTCACATGCAGAGCCATGAAATTAAACCTTGTGTCAGTTCAGAGTGGCAACGGAGCAAATCGGGGCCGGGCTGAACGTCCGGGCTGCTTGCTGTGACTTGTACGCCACCCACAGGCACTCACAGGGAGCGCAGTCAGCCGGAACACGGAAACATGAGCGCATTCACACCGCACCACGATTTACCGTGGCAGCAGCTAACCAGTCAAATCACTGAAGACACCAGACACACTTTGACGTAGATAATGCAAACTGTGCTTGCTGTTCTTTACAATAAATGACGACAAATCAGAAGGCAACTTTCACACCGCTTAGATAAATACTGTCTGCAAATGCAGACATGCTTCCCACTTTAACTCTGAGTACTCTTGGTGCTGGTAAAGGCCAAAATATTTTTAAAAAAATGCATTGTCAACATCCTTTGAAATGTTATGGTATTTGTCCATAAAGATCTGTTTAACGATATGACCATCAGTGGCATTGTAATGTTTGTATCACATAACAATAACCTGGTCAACGTAGGGACCCATTTCATTAGAGCAATGGGGAAGAGGGTGATTAGCAATAAGATGAATGGACACAATCACCTGAAAAAACAGTATAAACATTATTTACAAAAGATAAATGGAAGAAATATCAAGGTGTGATATGAATATGGATACCAAAATTCGTCAGGTGACTGAAGCTGCCTGCCAGTTAAGCTCACATGCAGAGCTTCACTGCATCACCTGCGGCAACGTCTTCCTCCATATTTGCATTCTGAGTGGACCCACTGGCGTGTCGAAGCCATGACGATAACTAGGTAGATTGCAGCTTATGGCAGCATGAGATTCTCCACAGAGTGGCACACCACCCCAGGTGCTAGCTGGTCCCAAATTTAGCTCCATCTGGCCTGGCAGCAGAAAGCCAGCAAATGCTATGTTGCATGTAAGAGCCACCGGGATTGGCCTATGTGTGACTCATTGGGATTGGCCTATGTAAGATTCACTGGAATTGGCCTATGAAAGATTCACTGGGATTGGCCTAGAGCTGTGCAATCAATCGAATTTGAATCACGATTACAGTTATGGCTTCTCACGATTATGAAAAAATTATAATCGAAAAAAAAAGATATTTGTTTGTGTGTCATACTGAAACGATGCCCTACTTTATCTTGCACAATAAATCCAGATTGGCGCACCAATTTTTCAGTGATGTGCTTTGCCCCTCCCTAAACACTATTAGCAAATTCCCTACAGCACAGCAATAAAAACACGTTCACGGTCGAAACGGCAAGACAGGTACCTTTGGTCAACAAAAGAGGTAAACACACACCAGTTGTTTGGAATCAGAGATTTCAACAAATCAGACCAAGAACAACAACAAATAATGTGCAGAATATGTTTCAAAACTCTGTCTGCACCACAAGGCAACACAAACAATTTATTTAACCACTTAAAGCTTAATCATAACGTTGGCTATGACCAAGCAGTACGTGAACCAAAAAGCTCAGAAATGTAAGGAAAGCTGATCACCTCGTACTGCAATGCAGTTATCTGTTAAGGACACCCTCTATAATGCAACCGCATATCCGTCAAGTTTTCAAAAACACCAAGATATTACAGATGCTATCACATATTATTTAGCAAAAGAGAGGGTCTTCAGCACAGCTGGAAATATCATCTCCTGCAATCATGCATCACTGAAGCCAGATCATGTAAATAGACTAGTTTTTCTTGCTAAAAATCTATAACTTGCACTTTTTATATCAGTCGACTAAGCAGTCGACTCTAGTATGTATAGCTGGGAAAAAGTCAAGTGTTTTTGAACCTCAGAGAACAGTTAATCTAATAATTTATTTATGCATTTAAAAAATATATAAGTTCAACGTGTGTTATCTTATTAAAATTCATTCATTATTTCTTTCAATTCAATTGCAACGTAAGTGCATAAGTTACATTATTAAGATTCAATAAATACAATGTTTCTGGAATCAAGAGTAATTGTGGGAAATAATCATGGGAAATAATCATGATCTACATATTCGTAAAAATAGTTGTGATTATGATTTTTGCCATAATCGAGACGCTCTAGATTGGCCTATGTAAGATTCATTGGGATTGGCCTATGTAAGATTCACTGGGATTGTTCCCACAAGGAACACTTTGGTTTATAAGTACGTTTTAGTCACTCAGCTCTGAGTTTCCATGCCGTGGTACAGGATTTACACACCATGTGCTGTTTCAGGTGCTGTTTCTCTATAGGAACCTGCCTGCATCTATGCATTAACAGGTGTACATACAGTATAACCACTTAATCAAGTGTAATTAAAGGACTGAAAAACACTGCCTTTCCAGAGTGTTATTAATGAATAATGTCATTTTATGGAAATCTGAAAACACATGGCAGCCAAAGTAGCACCCCAAGGGCTTACCCGAGTACGACAGCCCAGCTATCTGCATGAAGAGGTCCTCCTCGGAGAAGCTTTCTGGCAGCATGAGGAAGGAAGCAGTGACTGCACTTTTCAGATTGGCCACCAGGGCGGCCCGGAGCTTCCCATTATCATTCTGGAGAAGTATTTTGACCTACGGAAACACACAAATGGTGTTGGGGACAAAAAAAACTGATCGGTGCAACATTTATGTTGGTCACACCTTGCTTGCATCTCTGATACAAATGTATATACTTAAATAAAAAGTACTTCAATTACATAGGCTATTACAATTCAGGTTCATACAAGCCAAACATTATTAAACATTAAGTTTTGGTCTGTAATTATGGCATTAAAATATGAAAGTATGACAACTGAATAGAGACAATATAAGTAATTTTAAAGTTAGACTTAAACAACAGTCAAGCCACAGTTACTTCTTTGCATATTGTAGAAATAGATGGAGTAGTGTAACTCTTAATAATTACATACATATTTTTTTAGATCTCACATATTGTTGTTACAACTGCAATATATAAATAACACTGTCATATCCACCTCCTGAAAATCTGAAATTGCTCAGAATTGAGATATTTAGTAGGTATGCAGGTAATGTTCCTGTGGGTGGTGTTGATTGGCCACCAGGTGGCACCCTTCCCTATTTTTAACTTGCGGCAATGGGAACATTATATAACAGAGGGTGCCATCCTTGTCATGTGGAATTAAACTCAGGTCTTAATTAGCAATGGCTATCACAGTGTAAGAAAAATGGTGTGCCAGTGGGAATTTTACCCATTCTTTGCCTGGTCAAATAATTTCACTCCTGATGACTGCAAAAAAAAAAAAAAAAGATGATGGGATTCAAAATGGCCGCTCTGATACATGCGGGGGTGGTGGCAGAGGAGACAAAAGTAAAGCCCTCTGGGGTCCCCAATAAAGCAACATAATTTACTATCATAAAGCAAAAGCTTATTAAAAATGCATTAAAGTGCATTAAAATATCATTTTGACAGGCTGGCTTTTAACAACACGAGAGAGAATGCTTTAAGGGGTGGGGTATGGCTCTCAGGGTTAGGACTCTGATCTGAAGGTTGCTGGTTCAAGTGATGTGGTTGGCAGAGTGATGTGAACACTGGGTCATTAAGCAAGGCCTATTTTCTCAACTGTACATCACTTTGGATCAAAGCGTTTGATAAACAAATGCAATGTAAATTATTTAAATTTAAAGCCCATTATATCTCGTGTGATATCTACAGTACTGTGAAAAAGTCATAGGCAGTCAAAGAAAATGTTTATAGCTATTTATATGGGTATTTATATGGGTCTATATTTGCTCAGAATGAAGTATTGATTTGCCATAGCAGGTGCACTAGTGGTAGAATCAAAAAATGCTTGGGTGTTTTGGATGGTTGTTACAAATACAGGGGTGTCTTCAGGGGAGGTTTTGAAATGGTTAACCTAAACATTTTCTTTTGACTGCCTAAGACTTTTGCACAGTACTAAAAGTCATAATGACACCTGAAAGCATAGATGCGGAAAATTAGAAACATATTGAGAAAACCATTGTAAGTTTTCATGTGGTACATTTTATGGAACCACATACACATACTATATGAGAGCCATTAAGTAAAGCCATTTAGGTTCTTGATCAGGAAAATTTGTCCTTTTGGTTCTTGCTGTTCTTGACAGCTATTTCGTCGCTCTTGCTGCAGTACCGCATATTTTGCACCTGGGCATTCACCAGAAGCTCAGCCTAGCTGCACTTATGCATAGTCAACTCCTTGACAACTGCTTGTTTGCAATGTGCTATATGCCACACTAGTACATCTCTTTGGACCAAAGCCATCTGCTAAATAAAGAAAATGTAAATGTAAAACACACTCACGGGTTTGTGCAGTCTGCCAGCAATGTACAAGGTCTTCCAGTGGAGCAGGTCTTCAATCATGGTATCAGTGCTGATGATACCATACTTTATTATCTGGGGCACAACAGAACAGTGTTATGTCTGGCAATGTAAGTGAGACTCAACATGCCCTCAGTTTCAGAAACTCTTACCCTTCCATCAGCTGGAACTAGAGTGTTGTAATAAACCCCAGCACCGTGACCGTTCTGAATACTGCTGATTTTCTTGGGTCCAAGGTACTTCAGGAAAGAGTAATGCTTTCGGTTCTGCATTAGATTCATCGTGTGCCAGGTGACTGGATCATCCACAGAAAATATGAAGTCCAACATGTTTTTCTGATGGAAAACATTTACATTCATAAGGTGTAATTTATTTAAGCTATGTAAATTAGTCCCATTTACATACATATACAGTGGAAACCATTTATAGTGATCACATCTGTCCAGGTGAAATTGATCAGCATAAGAGGGTGATCATTATAACCTATTTTTTTCCTCTGTCTTTATCTCTCAGGCAGATTACCATCTGACTGGCATTTGTATGTTTATATCATGAATATAAAGTAATGAGGCTGAGTGTCACTATTTACTGAATTTTATTGACTCTTTCAAAATACAGTACAGCTGTTCCCAGTACTTTTCAAAATTACAGTACTGTACAAATTAAACTACTGAACTGTGTATAATTTAAACACATTAAAATAGTACTGTATACAAAATATACCCTAATGCAATTCAAATCATTATTACGCAATAGCCTAAAAAGGTTTACAAAACACAATACTGTACGTCAGTATTGCAAATAGACCACGGCTTTCAGCACATTTCTCAATTAACAGAACTGAAAATAAGCTGTAGGCTGTCAATACAGAAAAGGTAGCAGAATTTGAAATCAAACCAATTCATAATGTCTTCTGCAATAACAACAAAAAAAATCAGGCTACCTCTGTTTTATGTATTGGCTCTGTGCCATGTGGATAAGTCATTTCACAAATTCGGATCGTGGTTTTGTCCAAAACCAAGTTTACTTCTTTTGCAAAGTGATGCAACAGGTCAAAATTGTTGAAACCCACATGGGGCAGACCAGTCTTTAAAATGCGGATTGCATTCCTCATCTCTGCCCGGGATGGCACCACGGTCTCCACTTTTTCCTCCTCCTCATCACTGGTATCGGTACCCATACCGAAGCCCTCTCTCACCGCCGCGATAATGTCCTCATCGGTAACAGGCTCTGATACAGGGGTACTGTCATCAACTGCAATCCACTGTTCAAACTCCTCAGCGCTGATCTCAGCAGGTGGATCAACAGTTTCCAGTTCCTCCTTTAGTGACATGACCAGACCTACTTTCCTCCAGCAATCTCTTATTGTGGATGCCCCGACATCAGCCCAGGCATCCCGTAGCATGAGAACAGCATCCAGGAGACTGATTTTTTTTACTATATCTACAGCTGTAGCTGGGCTCCCCTCATCAAGTTTCTGCAATACAGTGCGTGCCATCTCTTTGCGAAAATAAGCTTTAGCTGTTCTGATGATCCCCTGGTCACATGGCTGGAGGAAGGAGGTTGTGTTCTTCGGTAGAAACTCAACTCGGATGTTTTTCAGTGTAGTGTTTGTCATGTCATGCGCTGGAGAACTGTCCACAAGCAGCAGAATTTTCCTTCTCTCTTGGGCCAATTTTCGATCCCATTCCGTCAACCATCCCACAAAGAGATTGCGAGTCATCCATGCAGGAGCATTGGCTGCGTACCTCACAGGAAGTGTGTGCACATAATTGAAACAACGGGGGTTATGACTTTTGCCAATAACAAAAAGTTCCTTCTTTTCCCCAGCAGCAGAACAGGCGAAGAGAGCGGTGATCCTTTCCTTAAGTTTCTTCCCACCTCTTTTATTGTCAGATCTAAAGGTAAAAGTACTGTGAGGTAGTGCCCGAAAATAAATTCCACTCTCAGCTGCATTCCAAATGTTTTCTTCCGTGTATTCTTGTCTCATCTGTTGCCACTGGTCCTCAAGCCATTCACCAGGTGACACCATGTCAGCTTCAGCAGCCTCCCCATGCAGTTTCTTAAAAACAATGTTCTCTCTCTTTTTAAATCGCTCAAACCAGCCAATGGAAACTTTGAAATTGTCCTCTCCCAGTTTTGCTGCAAATTCTTCTGCTTTTTCCTTCACCAAGGAGGCGCTCAGGCGAGCATTACATGAGTGAGCATTATCAATCCACTTAACAAGCGCGGCTTCAACCTTGGGTGCTTTCCCCGAGCGGATTCGTTTTCTGTCTCCATTATTAGCAGCCAGTACTGTTTGTCGCTGTTTGAGTAGAGTACACAAAGTAGCCTGAGGAATACCAAGTTTCGTTGCTGCAACTCGTTGACTAATTTTGGGCAGTTTGTCATAAGCTTCGATCAGTCTACGTTTGTCATTAAGAGAAAATGATTTTCTTTTTGCCGTCATGATTTCTGTGCATGCGGCGTTTCCCTCAGGAACTTAACCGGAAGCTCGCGGGTTATCGCGAGGCAAAGTAGCCCAATCATAGTCACATAAAAGAAAAGGAAAGAATTACTCTATCGTTATTTTAGACTTTTTCACGTTTTGGACCAAAAAAAATGAACACTGTATGCGGATTTCTCGATTACTATACGCGAATTATTTAAACAGTATTAGTACATGATTGATACTGTACAAATCATTTTGATCCGTATAAGCGGTTGATCACGATCAACATGATTACTATTAGCGGTTTCCATTGTATATATATGTACACTGTTAGAAAAGAAGGTGCCCAACGCTAAATTACATGCACAATGAGTATAAAGTTAGCTTGATCATTTCAATCAGTTTTAGTGTCTTATTTCCAGTTCACCTTGGGTGGTGCCAGCCACTAGATCCGACGGGACCTCCTTTAAGCGCCAGCAACGGTACTTCGGCATTTCGCACCTTTTGTTTTTATTATTGGGCCATCGTATTAGTGTACCGCTCATCCATCAAGAAAACAATGGGACAGTCAGTGATCCTCGCAGCGGCAGATCGAGTTACTGTTACTCCAAAAATGCCGTAAAACCCATAATACAGTCATACATTTTTGTCATATATTTTAGTGGTCATTGATTGTATTGATTTCGATAATTACACACCGGAAATAAAATAAAAGTCTATTTTTAATATAATTACCAAAAGAACTGATGACTTTAATCGCTATTAGGGTAAGGTATGGGCGGTCTTATGAATATAAAAACATTACGTCACGTCTTATATCTTTTCGAAAAAATAATATTATTTCGAAAAGATATAAGACGTGACGTAATGTTTTTATATTTATATTTGTAGGAGTAACAGCGTAAACTGAATGACAAATCGCGTGAGCCAAACACAATGCGTCTTACTTTTCATTTCAAATAAAACGCGGGGTTGCCAACTTCGACCAGCTGGTTGAAGTGAGACTTCAATTCGAGACGTTTGCAAACTGCCCCAATGCTTGTGACATAACTATTTTAGGTTTATAACGGAATAATATAGATTTGCCTTAAGATTTCTTGTGTGAGCGTGAGAGTCTGTAAGCGTGTTTGGCAGATCCCGAAAACGTAACATCACTTCATACAGTTGTTAAACAGCGGAAAGTTCGACGAACATTAAATCACCATTCATGTTTTTCACCATATGGCGTTTTGGTTGAGAGAATTGGATTTGCTGCTATTATTAATACCAACATCACATTAGCGCAAACAAAAGGACCTGCTGATGTAGCTAATAACTGCACCTGATATTTGTGATTTTTTTTCTGCAAATCAGCTGCAGTACTAATTGAACAAATAAATAGGAGCCCGCAAAACCTGTTTCAGGAGAAAGTTGCTCCTACATATTCTTGTGGATATGATTTGAGTTAAGGAGACTACACTTTTCCAAAGAAGAGGCCCACTGAGTGGCGACATAGTGGAATACAAGAAGACCAAGCATGCTCTCAATAAGGCAGTCAAAGCTGTGAGACAAAAATACAGGGACAAACTATTGGAGTATTTTTCTTCTAATGACTGTTCTTCCACATGGAAGGGAATTGACACTGTCACCAACTTAACCATAACCGCCAATCACTGAAGCAGACCCCCCACTGCCAAACCAGTTAAACAACTTCTAAGCAAGGACTAAACAAAGGACTGACACCCCCTCCCCCAAACCTGACCATAGTCATCTTGCAACACCTTGTCTGCTTCCCCCTCCCCCACTACCAGCTCTCTCTTCAAAGGTTCCCACGAGCCCACCCATCACAATGGAGATACGTACTCCAGAAACAAGAGATCAGGAAAGCAGCTGACCCTGATCACATCTCACTCGCCACACTCAAGCACTGAGTGTTTTTTGTTGACCTCGTTAATTGGAGCCTGAATCAGTGCACAGTATCCGCCTGCTTTAAATCTTCAGTCATCATTCCAGTTCCAAAAAAAGCAAAATCTCCTGCTTGAATGACTACAGTCTGGCAGCCCTAACCTAACCTAAAGTGCTTTAAGAAAATCATCCATCAATCTCCAAAACCACTACTGAAACTCTCCAGGACCCTCTAGAGTTTGCATACAAATCAAACAGATCTGTTGATGACACTATCAGCATGGCCCTGCACTACACTCTGAAACACATGGACAGCCCTCAGACATATGCTAGGATTTTATCTGTGGACTTCAGCTTTACTTTCAATACGATCAACCCAGATCTACTCTTTGAGAAACTCTGGACTCTCAATGTTCCGCCGTCTCTCTGCCACTGGATCCATGACTTCTTAAATGGCAGGAAACAGGTTGTAAAGACAAACAACCACATTTCAGATCCCTTCATACTCAGCACTGGTGCCCCGCAAGGATTTGTTCTCTCTTCCCTGCTTTACTCATTGTACACCAAAGACTGCATCTCACAAAATCACTCTGTAAAACTCCTCAAGTTTGCAGACGATTCCACCCTGATTGAACTCATCAAAAATGGGGATGAGTCCAACTATACAGAAGAAGTAAGTCGATTGGTGTCATGGTGTGATGAAAACAAATTAGACTTGAACACAGAAAAAATGGTGGAAATGATCACTGACTTCAGGAAAAAACACCCCAACACCACCTCCTTTGTACGAAACACTACCGTTAGCAGAGCTGGAAACGTCAAATTTCTGGGCACCAGCATCCAAGAAGACCTCGATTGGGTCAAAAACATCATCTCCATCACTAAGAAGGCCCAACAGCACCTGCACTTCTTGTGTCGTAACCATGTGCAGGCTGAGCAAGCAGGGAGCGGGGAAATCAGGATCGGGCACACGGAAATCCCAGAAACAGGGTTTATTCGAGACTGACCACAAGTACACAGTAAAACAACGTCAATGGGAACTGGGAAAACAGACTTGAACGCGGACTTAAATGCACAAGATGAGCCGAAATAACAGGAAACAGGTGATCACAATCGGGAATTCACGAGGAAAATGAGGGGGCGTGGCACATACGAGGATCATACGAGCAGGTCATGACAGAACCCCCCCCCCAAAAGGCGCGTACTCCGGGCACGCCTCAGGGGAGGCGACAGAGGAGACGAGACCAGGGACACGGGACCTGAAAAACAAGAACAAAAACATCAACGAGGGACCGGGAACAGAACAGAAACACAGAACAAGCACGGGGTAGAAACCAAGACAGAATCTGACAAAGGACAGGAAACGCAGACAGACAAACCAGAAATGGAGACACAGGGGGAACAGAGAACAGAGGAACAGAAAGACGAGGAGTGAACAGAGGAACAGAAGGATGAGGAGGCAGAAAGGCAAAGGACAGAGGAACAAGAGGAGACCGAGGGAACCCTGGCGGGCGAGGGAAGGCAGCCGCAGGGGCCACAGGCAGACGGGAGGACGGAGTCGGAGGGGACCACACAGGGGACGAGGAGACAGACGAAGGGACCGATGAAGGAGCTGAGGAGGAAGCAGGAGGGGACACCAGGAGAGGCGAAGAGGAAGGCAGAGGAGACCATGGCGCAGGCGAGGAGGAAGGGGAAGCCGCAGCAGGCGATGGCGCAGCCAAAGCCGGGGAAGGTGCCGTCCGACGCCGAGCCGCAGCAGGGGGACCCGCAGGCGGCCGATGAGCCGAGGCAGGGGGACCCAGAGGCAGCCGACGAGGCATCGGAGGAGGGACCGCAGGCGGACGACAAGCCCCCAGAGGGGGACCCGCAGGTGACAGCTGGACCGGAGCCAAAGGACCCACAGGCAGCCGCCGAGCCACAGCCAGGGAGAGCGAGGGCGAGCCAGGGGGCAGGGTGGGCGGGACCCGGTCCCTGCCCCTATGTCCTCTTCCCTTCCGGGACACAGACAGTCAGGGACCCCGGTCGGGCTCCACCACGCTGGGGCAATGGTGGAGGAGTCCGTCCACCACCAGAGTCCCTGGGGCCCAGTAGGTAGATCCCCAAGGGGTCCCATTCAAGCTCCTCCTCTCCTTCCACCAAGAGCACAGTCCGGGACCTCCTCAGGGACAGGGATTTCCAGCGTAGGCGGAGCCGGGGCCTCTTGCACAGCAGCTGACAAAGCCCTAGGAGCCTCGGGTGGAGCAGGAGGTGGAGGCCTAGGAGCCTCGGGCGGAGCAGAGACGGGCAGAGCAGAGATGAGCGGAGCAGAGACGGGCGGAGGCGGCACCGGGACCTTGGGCGTAGCTGCAGGTGGAGGCAGTGCCGGGACCTTGGGCGGAGCAGCAGCTGCCTCGGGCGTGGGCGGAGCTGCAGGGCCAGCAGGGGGTGACCGCCGACTCTGGGCCAGCAGGGGGTGCCGCAGCAGGAACCGCCGACTCCGGGCCTGCAGGGGGCGCCGCAGCAGGAACCGCTGACTCCTGGCCAGCAGGGGGCACCGCAACAGGAACCGCCAACTCTGGGCCAGCAGGGGGCGCCATGGCAGCCAGAGGGACAAGCGGAACAGGCAGATCAGGTGGGACAGGCACGTCGGGCGCCGGCGGGACAGGCGGGACAGGCACGTCAGAGATGGGAGCCAGGGTTGGCATCTCACAAGCAGGTGTTGCCTCTTTAAGAGTCCACGGGACCCACGGAATAGCGTCCCATAGTGCCCTGGCCCCTTTAAGAGCCAGTCGAGTCCTGGAAAAGGCGAGTGCTGCTGACTCTGGCCGCACAGCCATGGGCAGACACTCAGGGGTGGCGACAGCGGCTTCCGGCGCACATACCGCCGGGCTCAACCTAAGGAAGGACTCCTCCCCATAAGCAGCAGGGCAGGCAGTGGAGAGAGAGAGGGAACAGCGGAGAGGGAAACAGCCCCTAAGACCAACTCTGGCGTTTCCTGTCCTCTCCGACTTTTCCGCTTTTTTCTCCTTCCTCCTGCTTCATGCTGCGGAGACGGGGGCAACTCTGGACACTCCAGCAACGGACCAGGGGGTATTCCTCTGTCCAGGGCAACCCATTGCATCATCGCCTCTGCCACCGTCTCTCTGAACTGCTGTAGGTTCAGGCATACCTCTTCCGCAAGG